GGGGAGGCACAGCGACTGGCCCGTCGAAGAAGCTCGACGCTCGGTTCTGATGCTACCGGCGGACCCCTGGCAGGTATTGGATCCAATCCCTAGTATATGGGTCCCATGCCTATTGGCCCTATCTACCTACCTGTGCAAGTTTGTTGGGCGGGGGGGGGCAGGGGAACGGGAGGGTGCGCTCTCGTTTAATGGGGCACTGTGAACATTTAGGTACACGCACCCCTCTGCACACTCCGCCGCTCTCGATCGCCTTCATCCGCCGCCCATCACCAAAACTTCGACCCGAATCCGATGCACAGAGCGTCATGGAGCTCCCCCCCCGCGGCCAATGCTGCTTAAGGGAGATATATATTGTCACAGAACTATTGACGAAGAGCGTAAGCACGTGAAGTAGAAGAGGAAATAAGATAGAGCAAAGAAAAGAAAAAAAAAGGGACAGACAGGCAATGAGACAGACAAACTAGAATGACAAAAAACAGTGTCCTCTTCTTCTTTGTTTCTCTGATGGACCCGCCGGGATGGCGGTCCGTCAGGATCAAGACGAAGGGATGAGGATGGGGGAGATGGAGATGGAGATGGACGGGACAGCGCAGCTCCAACGCAAACTCAACACGCACGTACTCCAATCTGTGCAAATGAAGAATGAATCAAAAACAGACTATAGCTGGGGTATACCCCCAGCGGACTGACTGACTGGACTGGCCTGGTACCGACAGTGGTACCGGGCAGGACTGGAACATCACACGGCCTGTGGAGTCAGGCCACGGCCTGGTCCCACATGCCGAACTGGCAAATAGCCAAATAGGCCCTGGCTGTAGGCCAGGGCAGATGAAGGCCCGCTGCACGATCCTCAGACCTGTAATGGACCGCAAGAGCCATAAACACGCTATCCGCAAAAGCAGCGGAACTCTGCAATAAAGAAAGCTGAGAAATCTAGGATGCGGAGCAACCTCCATGCGGAGTCCATGCGATGCATCCTAAGCTACATAATGTCAAAAGAAAAGCAAATGTCTGGTATCCATATCCTAGCTAATAGCAAAAAGTGAAATGTAGCAATATACAATCCTAAAGTCCTGGAGGCAATTGCCTCTGTGCTGAAAGGAAAAAGAGCAATATGGCACAAGATAATGTCCTGTCGCTGAACCACTAAGGGTGGGATGGTCTCAGAGGGGGTGAATGCAGCTTAAGAATCGAAACTCCTAAGGGCAGTCACACGTGAAGGTGGGATAGGTCATCAGGCTCAACGTGGGAGAATGGTAGCGAAACAAAACCAAAGACCCTAACAAATAGACCATCAGGGCGGGTAATGCTCGACAAAAGGATGACACCATGCAGGGTCGACCATGAAAAAAAGGGGAGCCTGGAATAGGGTGGAGATATGCCTAACTGAAGGCATGCAAGGGCCGACACTAGTGTGATGAGGGCAGTGGGTGAGGGAAACATGCACACAACTCACCGACTGGGGGAGGAAGGAGCTAGATCTGGGAGCAGGGAAGACAAGATAACGCTACGGTCCCAATACCTATGCGATACCAAGGGAGAGCCCAACTCAAAGCGACCCAGCTAAGTGAGAACCATCATGCGACCAATGCAAGGGAATGTACAGGGTAGGGTGGTGGCGTGAAGTAGTCACGTCCAAAGTAGCTGAAGCCAATGAGGTGGCTGAAGTCGTCGAAGTGGTCGATGACGTCGATGAAGTAGCAGTCGAGTCGATGTCGAAGCAGAGCCGCAAAACGCTAACATCCTGAAGAAGTTGATGATGGAGTACCTGATGGTGTGAGTCAGTAGGGGAAAGATAGAGGATAAGAGTGTCAGTCATCGTAACACGAAGGGCGACGATGAGTGCGCTGTGGACGCTCGGAGGCGACCGTCTGCGGCTGAGGAACGGCCTCAGAGGGAGCAGGCTCGTCCTCAACAATCTCCTCAGCCGGAGGAGGAGGAAGAGGGTCAGTCGGCTAAGCAGGGGCAGACATCTCAGCACGACGAGCACGATCGTATGCACGCACCAACATTCTGGCGTGTTGCAAGTGCTCGAGGGGCTCCCAAGTAGCCTCCTCATCAGGGTAGCCCTTCCAACGCACAAGGTACTCGATGCGTGGAGGGGTACCGCTCGGCGTGATACGATGTCGGAAACAACGAACTCCTCGTAACCGTCCACCATAATAGGTGGAGGGCGCTCATAAGGGCGTTCGGCGAAGTGCTCGGACGGTCTGCGATAAGGACGCAGCAAGGAGACGTGGTAAACATCGTGTACACGAGCCTGTCGAAGGTAATCAGGTAGCTTCACACGGAAGTTGACCGGACTAGCGGCAGTATCAGAACCGACGGCCTAAAGGATGCAACATGGACCGAAGAAACGACGCCTGAACTTGCGAAGCATATCTGCTTCGAGTTGTGAGTGGCGTGCGTCGACGAGCACATCGTCACCGACTTTGAATGGATGATCCATTCGTGATCGGTTCGCTCGTGCGGCCATGCGAGTCTGGGAGTCGGCTAAACTCTCGTGTGCGCGCTTCATAATCGCCGCCATGTGGGCGATCCAGTCGTCAAGCGCAGGGCAACGAGTGTCTGGGCGCAACCGCGATGGTCGTAGGAAATCCACGGGTACGCGAGGGTGGTAGCCGAGGTCGCAATAGAATGGCGACATCCCCGTGGCTGGCGAAACAGCGTGGTTGTACGCAATCTCCGCGTGGGCTAAGTGTAAGTCCCACTGCTGGGCATCCCTAACAAACTTTCGGAGGATATTACCGAGAGTTTTATTGGTGACCTCAGTCTGACCATCCGTCTGAGGGTGGTAAGACGATGAGAAGCGGAGCTGGGATCCGTACACCT